GGGAGCCTTGCGGGAGCGGCCGGTGTGCCCCTGGCTTCCGCGGTCGGTTTTCTGTCGGCTCTGCCCCCCCGGCTCAGCCCTGGGAGGCGGGAGGGGAGCGGGGTCGCGCTGAGGGCGTGCGGAGGCAGGAGTGTCTCCAGTGTGCCTCTCCGTTAACCCCTTACCTGCTCTCCAGCTCACGTTGTGACTTGCTCCCAGTGAAGCTGGAGCTGTACGTTTTGTCTTAGCGTCAGTAGTCAGGTGGCTGCAGCATATTTAGCGTATAGAATCTGGGCTATCGATGCTTTCGCTGTGACGAGGTTTATAAAAGGAGAACTGTGGGAAGGGAACAGCTTCGTGGATGGGCAAGGCCACACTCCTGCTCTTACTCTGTGTATTGCTGCGTGCCTTTAAACAAGTCGCGGCACTGCTGGGGCCCTGTTTCTCCAGCTGTCGTGTGGAACTAAAAGTAGTTTCTATCTGAAGAGCTCTGAGAGGAAAGGTGCTGTGTGAAATCGAGTGGTGCTGTAGCTGAAATGCTCATCTGAGATTTGAGCGTAACTGTAGCACCTTTAATGATGTTGTGTGCTGGTAGTGAGTTCACTTGCTTTTAAACCACTATAAGAGCATAGGATGGTACTTACTTAATAACATTTTTTTTCATAGGTTGGAGCAGCTTTGCCCGTTGATGTCTTAACATATGAGGAAAAATCTCTGTCTGCCATATTAAGAGTTGTTAGCAGGTAAGGTACAGTAGGTACGCACTTCAGATACTCCCATGAAAAAGTATCTTATCTTTTCATAAGAAAACATAACTCTTAAGCTAAGAATGGTCTTTGAAGAATTAAGCCTAACTTACAGATGTCTGCATAGAGCATGCAGAAAATAAAAAAATCACAAAGATTTGGTAACCTACACATATCAGTATGCTATTCCTGCTTTAAAACAGAATGGTCTGACAGGAACTAAGCATCATTGAAATATGTGGGTTTAAAATCTCAGTAGTAAAGATGAGAATGGTTACTCTGTTTAAATGGTGAAGACAACTGCAGGTGATTTATTTAGCTTAAAGGCACAGAGAGAACAAGAACGGGGCCAGTAAAATGAACTTGGAAAGGTTACAGCATGTATCGCAGTCATTGCAGTAACCCTTCAGTGTTACTACTAAACTCATAGGTGAAATTGCCTGCTGTAATTTCAGTTACAGTTAAGGTTTCATTACTATGTAACTTTTTTTTTTTTTAAGATGTTTACGCAGCACGAAAATTGGGAAAAAGAAAATTTATTAATATATTTAATTTTCTTTTTACTTAGTGGCCTTGTCAAGCTGTGGAGCGCTCTAACACTGCTGGGCTTCTACCAGAACAGGAGGTGTGCCTTTCGAGTGCTGCAGGTAAAGCCCTGTGGGGGCTGGATGGCTTCCCCCACGTGTCACTTCTCTCTCTGAGTTGCTCTTTGTAGCCAAGTGCGCTGCCTTTTCATAGAAGGATGGTCTAGATGCAAAAATGACTTGGTTTGGGAGTGAAATGCTTTTCAGTGCAGGGGTGTAGACCTGCATTTAAGCAATTCTCATAATGAACCTTGTAAAATGTGACAGCAGCAGCTGTCTCATTGCTTTATGATTGCATTCCAGTGAGAAGTCCTGATCTCATTAATACATCTGTGAGAAAATAATTTCTGGAAAGTTTTGTTCTTGGCCCATATCTTCATCCAGTTTTTTATTTCCTCTACCCCATTTCTTCAGTCGTTGTTGACTGACCTCGTTTAAAAATTCATGCATGAACATGCACTTCCAGAGCTTATTTTTTTCCCAGAGGATGCTGCTTAATAAAATGAGTTTGAAGAATTCTTTGTCTCTGAAGCCATGGCTAAATGAAAATCTGCTTGGGTATAGCTTTAATTTTTTAACTTCTGTGTAAAAGGGCAATTTAAGTATTTTCAATGTTGAGTGCATTTGATGGTGGGGGGGTTTTAATGTTTTAGTTTGTTTCTTGCCTTTTTTTTTCTTCCCCCTCCCTCTCCACTAGACATCTCCATTTCTTCTCGCGTTATCTGGCAACAGCAGAGAACTAGTCTTGGACTGAATGCAGTTGTTGGTTTGGTTGTACGAAGCAGAAGTTTCTTGAGATGTTGCAGTCCTTCAGGTGTGGAATTTCTGGAGGGGATTTCCGACAAAGAGCCTTGACAAAGCTACCAGTTACCAGCTCACTACTTGGATGTCCTGTACCTCAGAGTTTACACATAAAAGTTGGAGACAAAGCCGAACTTACCAAAGCTTTTACGCAGAATGATGTTGTTACTTTTTCTGATTTAACAGGTGACACAAATCCTTTGCATTTAAATGAAGATTTTGCAAAGAAATCTAGATTTGGAAGAACTATTGTACATGGAGTTTTGATCAATGGACTTATTTCTGCAGTTCTGGGTACTAAAATGCCTGGTCAAGGTTGTGTGTTTCTTTCTCAGGAGATCCGATTTCCAGCTCCTTTGTATGTCGGCGAAGAAGCCGTAGCTTCAGCAGAAGTTAAACGCCTGATGGGTTCTATTGCACACATTGCAGTATCGTGTAAAGTCAGAGAAAGTGGGAAGACTGTTATGGAAGGGTCGGTGAAAGTCATGGTGTCAGACAGCGAGAGCTGTTGATCCTGCACTGCTTTACTATAAAGGCCAGAAACATACCCTTGGTTTTGACTCCGTCTTTTTACACAACTCACTTAATCCAGTAAATTTGCGACAAAAAAACCTTCAAAATGTGTCAAAGACAGTGCATGAACTTAATCTTGACAGAACTGCATTTATAGTTAGAGCTTTTCATTTTTCCCTGTGTACTGCCAAGATGAAACCAGCAGAACTGGGCGCTTACTGTGAGAAAAGCAGCACGTTTAGACAAGCCTTTGCTCTGCTACAGTGGGAGGTCTTCAGCAGCAGAGCTTACATTGAGGCAGTTCTCAGCAAAATCGCAGTCCACACTGGCTAAATTCAGTTAAAACTCCTTCCCTCTTTACAGAGTAGTTGTATTGCTAACAAGCACCGGAGGGAGGGGACAGTGCTGTGTGTTTAACAGGCAGGAGGTATTGACACACGTGTAGTGCAAGATCTGTTGTAATCTCCACGGCAGCGTGCTTGTCTGCATTTTCTGGCTAGTAAAGCCTTTGCTCTGCAGATAAGTAGTAGTTAGCCTTCACATAAACAAAATAAAATTTGCCCGGTTTAGTTGGAGATGTGGCACTCTCAGTACTTCCAAAGTCTTTAGATACCTTACAAAACCTGATTATAAACACACAAAGAAATTATCTTTAAAGATAAATGCCTCCCAGAAGCAGAGTGAAGGAGGCTTTTGAAAAGCTGTAGTGTCACCGCTTGTGCTCTTGGGGGCAAGACGAGCAGGGGCGGATGAGCTGAGTACTAACTGCCTGCTTTCGGCTCACTTTGCTGTGGGAACGTGCTTCCCTTTGCCTGCTGAAAGTACCTTGGTTGCTGGTAAAGCAGGCTTTTGGTAAATTCTTTAGTAAATCATCCAGGTTAAATTATTTTAGTACTGACATAAGATTATTATACACTAAGAAACTTTTTTCAGGAATGATGAGGACCCATCAGGACTAAAAGTACAGGCTGTCTTCAATCGGTGGCTCATCATCATTTTCTGGCAAAATAATCTGTTATCCCCCCACCTTCTCTGGAGCAGAAATGCATCCATAAATTGCCTTGGCTGCAGTTAACCTCAAAAGTTGTTTGCTACTAAAAGTTTGTCCTCAAACGGTGATGAAAGCTACTGGTAAAGCCGTTACGCTGTCTGGGTGTGATGTTTTGTTGTTAAACAACAAACCCCAGGTGTTAAGTTAAACTGGATCAGAGGGAGGGGTAACGTTTAAACTGTTCCACTCCACTGTGCCCTCTATTGTCAAAGCGTGGGTTTGGCCTGTTGGAAACACCGAACCGGTACTTAGTGGTACTCGGGAGAGCTTTCCTTATCTCTTTAGGAGATGATTCATTTCTTTTTTTCCCGGGGTCACTGCCTGATCACGGGCTTTTTGCTTTTGTTTCTCACAGCAGGCGCACTCCTTCCCTTGTTCACCTGCCTCTCTAGATGGGAAGTCGTCAGCTTGATGCCTGTTAAATCAAATGCAAGGGTGAGACGGTGGGTGAAGGGTTAGGGCAATTAAATCTGCGGCTGCCCCCCAGGGTAACTGCGGGAGGATTTGTTGGGAACGATCGCTGTGATTTAGCTGCTTAACCACAGTGCCCGGCCCACTTTCCTGTGAGTGTGGAGCTGCGAGACGAGGCTCTTTGAGGTGTACGACAGACTCGAGCTCTGCAGCCTTACAGCGAGATGAATTCCTGCGTGCGGTGTGACGAGACGAAACGCAGCCAAGCGCTCACCGGGCAGGAGGCTGCGAAGCGCTAAGTAACGCTGAAATAGTTTTCGACGCTGCTACAGCGAAAGGTTGTGGACCTCAATTTATCAACTTTAAAACTGTGTTTTGCAAAAGAAAACAAACAAACAAACAACAAACCCAAACCCTAAAAATCTACGGATTGAGCAGAAGATGCTGTTTGATTTTTTTAAGGATCTTTTCACAGAATCGTTTAGGTTGGAAAAGAGCTTGAAGATCATCCAGTCCAACCATTAACCCAACGCTGACCCTTCCCAACTCCCCCAGATCCCTCAGCGCTGGCTCAGCCCGACTCTTCAACCCCTCCAGGGATCCCGGGGACTCCCCCCTGCCCTGGGCAGCCCATTCCAACGCCTTTTAACTTAAAAAAAAAACCCAAACAAAACACAAACAAAACCCTCAGAAGGCGAAGAGCGGCGGGTGCGCCCGCCCTTTGCACCCCAACATACAAGCAGGCTGGCAGTGGGCTAGGGTTTGGGTCCCCAAAGCTCACCAGGCGCCTGGGACAGAGGAGCCTGGGCTCCCCGCAGGACAGAGAGGAAACCCCAAATCCAAACAGAGAAAACATCTTGAACTTAGAAGTTCCTTTGCAAATGGGGTCTTGCAAGTTGAGCCTCAACACAAGCATATCACATGGATGTTAATCTATTGCAGTGTTACCCTGTTCCTGGATAAACTTTTTTTTTTTTGAAAGAGGTAAGATTCTATAAAGTTCTTATGCTGAGGATGATATTTCATCATTTTGGCAAAGATACTTCTGTCCTTTCTGCTGTTTCTCTCCAAGGGATGTATTTCACACCAATCTTCAGATGAGCTACATGGATTCATGCTGGTGCTGCAATTGTGTTATCTCAACTCTCTGTTGACCAGTGAGATGCAAAGCCAAGCTGTCAGCCTCCCTCTGTGTACTTTTCAAATCTGTTTCAGGTGTGTGTGCTGCAAAAGAGGCTATGTGATTACACAGTGCCCTCCGTGTTTGTAACCTGTTACGGTGCTGGACAACACGCTCCACCAGGAACTGTATCAGGACCAACATAGTTTGTTTAAAGGGGAAGGGCAGGAGTGTCTCAGTGAAGGAACAGCTCAGCTAGCCCCTCTCCAAGAGCGTGTTTACTGTGGAGCGTTCAGTGTTCTTCTGAAGCTAGAAGTGAGCCGGTAGCACTCGGAAACACCATCTGTTCCCGCAGCTTCCAGGAGATTAATTTCAGACGTGAAGACTGCTTCCTGCTATCCTCAGTCAGAAAAGGCCAAGCTCAGGTTTCCCCAGGGCGGGTTTAGGG